AACAGCAATTATTTTAAAATCTAAAGAGTAATTAATTAATTAGTACGTAATCGATATGGTAATAACGCACTAGTGATGAACTAGAAATGGTCCCATCTTTAATTAATTTCGTAAGAATTGAGTGATATTTTCGCAAATTATTCCTTTTTTGGAGAACTGTTTAGTAAATGATTCTTACTTTATTTCTTTTTATAGTTTATGAATTTTAAAATCACAATTTAAAAATTTTCACATGAACAAATTGAAAAATTTTAAGAAAAAAAGTTTGGCACGATCTAAATTTTTACAAATTATTTACCAGCATTAGTTGACAATCTGATATTTTATATGCATGGTTAAGTAATATATGAGTAAACATTATTAGACTTGAGTCTAGTGTTAATAAGAAGGACAATTTTCTAAGTGTTGTATTTGCACAATATTAAAAATAGAAATAGTTAACCTAAAAAAGAGATATTTACATAAATCTACCAAGAATTTAAATTTTATGTATTCATTTTATAAAAATGTTCACAATCAAATAATTTAATATTAAAAATTATATCAAATTATGAAGTACTCTAATTTCAAACATCATGTAAAATGAATGAGTATTTCACGCCAAAAAATAAATATCCGTCAACGTGCATGCCTCTCTACCCTAGCTAGACAACCATCTCCGATCTATCGTGTAACTTCTCCAAAATTATGTTATTTTTATTTTACGTATTACCATCTTAATCATACATACTCGAATAAATATATCAATACAAAGTCACATCACCTTACACGCCTTTAAGAAAAACATGTTTTGTATTGGCCCATGATCCACAGTGAGGAAAGGACCTAGAAGGATATTCAAGTTTGTGTTGATTGCATTTGTTGAAAAACTATGTTGTATAGATTTTAGTCAAAATCTAAGTAGGATCGTGTGTTTCAAAATTAATAGACAAAAATAGGAAATCGTACCTTATCTCCAAATTAATATTGCGTCTATAATATTTACATGATATAGAGAATAAATTTGTTTCTATCCAAAATTGCAACATACGTATGTATATGGTGGAATTAAAAAATTTATTAAAATTAAATATACGAAGAAGTTAAAAAAAATATAAGTATATCTACTATATATATATATATAAATAAAGTAATTCTAATCATTTATAAATAATGTAATTTTCTATTTAAAGCAATTCGAATGAAACTCCTAAACGCTATCTAATCCGTTCTTATGTACGTGTAGTGGTCCACAAGAATATATAAGTTTACAGGAATATACCTTCTAAAAAGTTTACAAATAATAAAATTATTTGTGAGATAAAAATTGGAGAAGGGCAAATGTGTTATTTTGTTGTTTTATCTCGTGATTAATAATCTTGAGATTATTATATAATACTATAATCATAGTATAAATAATTCTGAGATTATCAATTAATTCCAAAACAAAAAACCAAACATATTTTTTACTAATTTTATTTTTATAAATTATTATATTTTGACTTAGGGGAGTGAACAAATGGAACTAGTTTTTTATTTTAACTTCTTCTTTTTTTTAAAAAAAAACTAGTGGTTATCAATACACGTGCTATGTTTTTTTTTTTTTTTTGCTTAAAGCATACAGTTAGAAATTGAATTAATTGGAGCCATACATTACACGTTGAATTGTTTGTTTTTAAGTAGAAAGAAATAAAATGTGATTTAAAATTCATTTTTCATTTATCTCATTTGCAATTCTAATTCTCTATATTCATTGTATTTACTCGTTATTAAATTGACTAATCATAGCTTAATACCTAACTTTTTTTCCTTAAATGTATGAAGAAATTTCGATCAAAATTCATGAAGCACTTGTTTTTTTATGTGGAGTCTTAAAATTATTAAAATATTGTTCATGACTTTAAGATTCTCATAAATATGATCTTTTAAGATATTCTATCCACTATCACCACATTACAATCTAGTGGCAGAGCCAGAAATTAAATTATGATAAAAAAGTAAAAAGCAAAAATTCCAAGATCGTCACTCATGTGTTTAAACTTGTAGTTCTGTTATGTTAAGGTGATATATATATATTGATGTATAATATTTTTATTTATTTATAAAGTAACCTTTTATGAGGATCCTTGACGCATGTGATTGATCTATTAATATGTTACCTATAATTTTTTCGAAGTAGCAATATAAAATTTTATTACGTTATCGATATATAAAAGTTAAACTTATTCATTTTTTTTATGTTTGGAATTTGGCCTATAGTGGTCAACTATATTATCATGGATATTCATAAAAATTGTTTAACTATTTGAGAATTTAAATTTTATTCAGTCAAATTACTTGGTCAACCAATCAATTTTTTAGTTTTGGAGAACATGGAATTAATACAGTGTAGACATGATTTTAATTAAGTGATTTATTTTTATTTAAAATATCAAATAGTCACTAAATTAGAAAATATTTGGTCAAATATTCTCATAAATATTAACATGAGAAATTTTTTATTATTGACCAAATATTAGAAGAAAAAGGAATATTTGCAGTATACGCAAGTGAAGAAAAAAAGTGAAACATGTGATTCATAAGCAAGAAAGATTTTTATTCATTCATTGAATTTGTACCAAAACCATAAAAAAAAATCAAAAAATTATAGAAAAATAATAATATATTTATTTAAGAGGAGAAAATGGTCAAACATGTGGATGGCTTTTACTTTATGATACTCTAATCAAGTTAAATTGTTTGGGTTTCACTTTCTAAATATGCAAAGTTTGACCGTCAACGATTTTGGTGGAATAATTGATATTATAATTTTTCATAACTGAAATCAATATTTCCTTGAAGAAGTGAGTAAATGAATAAATCATTAAATGACAAGTTGTGTCGTTTTCTTTATTATATTGTTACCTAATGTGGTATGGTGTGTCACATGACACTGCTTGAAGCTTACGTACATTCATTCATGCTTAATCAAATGTTTCGAGTTTAAGTGACCCAACAAATACATAACTACATGTCTTGAGATACACTTATATCACTAAATCATAATAATTGATTAATTCATATTCTCACCTTAATTTATAAGGTAATCGTGAATTAGAATGATTTAATATAAACATCAAATATGAGTGAAATTTTAATGTGGATTCAATTCAAGTCTTGGAAATCGACAACTTCCGGATAGAAAACGCATTATCCCTCGGTGGATTACGGATTCAACACAAATTCAAATATTTCGAACTAGTAAATTTCAGATATCGAACAGTCAAAAATTCATAGTTTGAACTTTGGTTTCTAGTCAAGTCAATATATGAATAAATGTAGCCCTACTTTGCCCTGAAAGTTGAAAATCAACATTTGTAAAATCTCAGTCAGAAATTTAACTATTTTGGAAAATTAATGTTGGAAATTATTTTAGAATAATCTTTAAATAATTTCTAGGACTATTAATATCTTAGGTCAATTACTCACATGTTGCTTTCAAGAATTAATTAGGCCTTTATTTCCACAACCATTCCTTGGTCAATTCTTCATATCACAACATGTTACATGTATTAGTCACTATTTCCAGCCATTAAAAGTCATTTGGTTCACAATGTAAACTTTAACACACGAATTTAAATTTAATCGAACCTTGATATAAATATTAAATATTGAATAAAAAATTAAAAAAAAAATAGAAAAGAATGTTACACGATGAGTAATAATACAAGAAAGGAATTAATATTATAATATGTATAGTTTACCACCATAACAACATATTTAATATAATCTCACCAGTGGAGTTTGGAGAGGATAAAATGATGTATATATGTTGCTAATCTTATTTAATGATGAATTATCAAAAACTTATGTTAGCTACTGGATATTTAACGATAGATTCAACTTAGCCAATTTATTTTGTAACGTTAGCGTTTTTTGTCTATCAATATTTTTATCTTTCGTGTAATTGCTAGTACACGTACTCATATTTAATATTTTATTTCGCATGAAATAATGTACAAATTCTCACATAACTTAATGTGAATTTATTTAGTCTCGTCAAACATTATATTCATTATTGATGAGATGTCCAAAGACCATATGGTAATACAAAATAAAAAATAAAAAATAGGATTAACAGTAGTGGAACTTATAATACTTTGTTCAATTTCTAAGATTAGACAGAAAAAAAAAATTGACTAAGAAAAATGATAGGACCATATGTGTGTGTGGGGAAAAGGGAAATATAGCTTAATTAATTAATTAATTAATTAATATGATAAGCAATTAGTTAATTAATTAGCAGCCAATGAGAAATAGATGAGAAAGTACTAATGATGTCTCTGATTATCAAACAAATTGACTGAGCCTTCTTTGAATTGTAAATTTTTTTTTTTGGTTATTATAACAAAATGATGTTATCTAGAATAAATAACATAACATGAGAAATCAATTTTTAAAAAATTGATCATTATAACAAAATATCATTATACAAAAGTTTGATCATATCACTTGCTATCCCCATTATTGAATTAGTAAAATAATAGATTTTGAATCCAATAAACATAAGTAGGATTCTAAATTCGAATAGTGCAAATTTTGAATATGTTTTTAATACAAATATGTTTATATGACAATAATCTTTGTAATATCGTTATTTGTCTGAATATTTTTTTTAGTTATTATAACAAAATAATGTTCTAGAGATTAGAAAATATATGATAGAACATAATATGAAAAAACAATTTCAAAACTTCAATTGTTATAATAAAAAATGTTATTATAGAGAACGTTGTAAAAAGATTTGATGGTATACATGCTAAAGAAACTCATTGAATAAGTGAAGTAATAGATTTTGAATTAAGTAAAGAGGTTCATTCCTAGATATCAAACCCAAAATCTTTAATTATTTAACTCGAGATCACAACGTAGAGAGGTTGTTTTCGAGGATCACAAAGTAGGGAGGTTGTTTCCGATAAAACCTCCGCAGGAAACATTTATCAACACTCATGCAGAGAAACCTCACCCAACAACATTTTCTCTAGTGTACATCTCATTTGCTATATGACTACTGACAAACAAGCTCTTCATAGTTTTACAACAACATGCATCTGCATCATTACAGCAATATTTACAGAAATATGCAGAAAACCAGAAGATTTTAACCTATATATAAGTTAGTTAATCTTCTAAAACCAAGTTGTGTATCGTCCTGTTTGCAACCGCCACACTTCGCATTACCTCATCTTCTTCCCGCCCGGGGGTAGCACCAAAAAGAAAAGCATCTCAGTTGGATACCTTAAGATGCTTCGATCCATGCTCGGGTGCCAGATTTTCAGCCGCAGCTCGCTTTGGTCTCAACTGCAACACAAAAAAAGCATTTTAACCGTAAAGGGATAGAACGCATTTCACAACAACAACACCTCAATCCCAAGGAAGCTAGGGTTGGTTATACGAATCCTCATTGATTATGTGTGAGTTTGCTCATATTGTCGGTCACAAGACTGGATAAAGGAGAAACATTGCAATAGGTTGATAGCCATCGTAAAACTAGTCACTTTAAGATGAATCCTCACAATATAACACAATTACAAATTGCCAAATATTCATCGAAAGAAGGAATAAATGTCGATCAAAATGAATACTGACCTTCTCGTCAGCACGCTGCTCTAGGTGTCTCAGAAGTATATTTTTGGCTTCTGAACTAATAACTGGAAATGCAAATGCAGGTCATTAGTATATGCTGAGTTAGAAATAAGCATAGCTTAAGTGCAAAAGTTTTAAGCTCACACAATTCATATCTAGTATACTTCCCCTTATCTGATTAATCGAGATTCAATAAAGAAAAAGAGAACAGATTGACGATGAAGCATGAGAAAGTAAACTGACAAACAAACTTGCGCATTACATTAGATTTTCATGATTAGGTCTGGGGAGGGTGGTGTGTACGCAACTTACCCATACCTTCAAAGGTAGAGAAGTTGTTTTTGATAGACCCTCGGCTCACGAATATGTGCATCCTCATAAAAGTTTAATACCAATAACATGAATGTACTTTATATGGCTATTGATACTATATTTACCAAATGTTACAACCAAAGAGAATTCCTTTTTTTTCCTTTACAGTAATAGGATCTTACATAAGATGATGCTTCTTAAAGCTATTGAAACGTAGTTTATCCTAGTGCATTTGAAATCATTCTTAGTCGAGTATAGAGATGTGGTAATGGGGCAAGATAATTATACTATTATCCGAAAGAATTAAACCACAATTTCCTAAAAGGGAATGGAGATGAACATGACAAATTGTGACTTGTTAACACACATTTACAGGAGTTTTGAATTAAATATAGCCATACGAGGAAAGAGAAGAGCTGCATTATTTGCTTTAAAGGCATACTCTTTCTTATTGAATCTTAAGGACCCTACCCTACCCTATTCTCGAACCCTCTGCCGAGCTCTACCCTGCATGCATTTCTTGGAATCTTTTATGTAATAAAAAAAGCTTATGCACCTAGCTTGCTGAAAGCTAAGAGTTTTATCACCCAAAAATGGGAATAGAGGCTTTAGTAGTGCCTTACCTGATTCACCAATCTATTTACTTAACTTTTTAGACTATGTTTTTTTTTTTTATGACAAGGGAAACCCGCAGCCGCTACCCTTTGGGTGCGCACAGGGTAAAACCCCCGCTCCTATGCAATAGCTCGCAAACCACATAGGAGAGGTAACTATTTTACCTTCACCAAAGCCAGAAGCAAAGGGCGAAAAATCCAAAACTAGCAACTAGGGGTGCTTTATTCTGCTACTCATGTACAACTCATTGCCAATTAGCATCCTTATTGATCCATGCCCAATGCTTTTATTGCGACACAAAATGATTTGAGGTTGAAACAACTTCTAAAGTGAATAAACTGAAGTTCAAATCCTCAAGAGATGACTGGCTTAATTCTAAAGACCAACTCATAAGAATAACCAATAACAGCAGCTGAGCTAAAGTTATTTCAATCACCAATTACTCAGGGAGGAAGGGTGGGAGGTTAGTATTCTAGTCAAATATATACAACAATAACATGCTCAATGTAATCCCACAAGTGGGGTCTGAGGAGGGTAGAGTGTATAGAGACCCTACCCCTACCTTGGAAGGTAGAGAGGCTATTTCTGACAGACCCTCGGCTCAAGGATTCCAGTCAAACATATATAATTCAAATACCTGATAAAGGTGGAGGTTAAGAGTAACTAATAGATAAATGTAAATTGTGATATCAAAAGATGTCTAAGAAACAAAAAGAATCATTTGCTTGATTTACCTTGATTTGGTGGAGGAAGAGTCCTATCATGAGTAGGGCGATAAGTCACGGGTGTCATTCTCTAGAAAAAAGAAAGAACACAGGATTAGATAAGTGGAAAAATAAAATAACTAGTATCCTCGAAACTGGAGAAAAAGAAACAGAGTGATCGTTTCAGGCTCAGCTACTAAAAGCCAAATTACAAAAGGTTTACCAACAAATAACTTCATCATGGAACACTTATGTAATGCTATAATCATTTTCAAAGAGATTTTGAAGTGCATATGCAGATTTCAAATGTTAGTTCACTTTACTTATCATGCCATTCAAAGCAACGATGCAACACAAGGACTTCCTTGGGGGTCATCCATCCTAGTACTACTCTTGCCCAGGCATGACTTCCAGTGACGAGAGTCCCTCAAGCCGATTATTATAGGAAACCATTATAGTAAGTAGTAAGTAACTTCACAAATTCAGCTTCACGACAACTCCTTTGGAGACATAATGAGCTTCAATGTATGAGTTATCCAAGTAACTTTATCTTTAAACACTCTACTATATTTACATTCCTTACTTTTGTTTTAGCCTATGTTGCTCGGACTCTTCAGAAATATCAACGAACGTGTGTCGAATACTTCAAAAGTAGTTACAACATTTTTGGAGTATCCGACACGGATGCGGCAATATTTTTGAAGAGTCTGAGCAACATATGTTGTAACTACCAGAAAGGGGGGAAAGGGCAAGGAAATAGGGAGACCAGACTGTATACACGACAATAATTGGGAAAAAGTTTATTGTGGAGAATAGATGCTTCAAATAACTTGCAGCTCTTCTACATCAAAAGCTCACAAGATAAATCATAAACCTAGTGCTGTAACATACACGGTTCTAGAGGAATTAAAGTGAATGCTGTAAATAGAAGCAAAGCATGGCACCACTGAGAAAAAGACTGTCACCACTAGAAGAAAATCAACCTTCTCACTTCTCTCCAAGCAATTAAATTAACCACCACAGATAAAAGATTAAAGGTGGTAGCTTCAGCGTGGATCAAAAGAAATGCATTAAAACGAGGTACACGATTGGTCGACATAACGGGGGATGAAGATGAGGTCTTCAATTGCTTCTTGAGGCTTGAAAGCCGAAGGATCAATGGGATCATATTCAAGGAGCCAAGCAGCACAATGAGAAAAGGTAAGAAGGAACTCAAAAAAGGAAAAAAGTTGTATCAGTTAATGAAAATGTTATTATGGTAACACATGAGCCGAAAAGGCTTCTTTTTTCCGCTTCTCTTGAGAGTAAGACATTTCTTACTAACATGTTATACCCCACAACAACAACAACATACCCAATGGAATCCCACAAGTCGTGTCTGGGGAGGGAAGAAAAAGATGACAGTAAAATATCAAGATACAAAGAAAAATGAAGCAACAGATAGTAAAAACACATTGAAACAAGTATTACATATCTTTTTTACAAAGTCGTAGAATATTATTGTTTTCTGATTCCTCTCCTACACATTTATCAATCTGCGCTCAGAAGTAAGAGTAACTGAAATAACAGTAACATAAGCAGTGCATTCTTATAATCAACGCCATAATAGATAACAATCTAATACGTGGTTATCATTAAGCTAGTGTACTATGTATTATGGCAGCAAATGCCACGTGGTGTGAGTCTACACTAGCAAAGAGGGATTGTTTACGCAAATCTGAGCGTAGCATGCAATTAAGTCTCACATAAGCGACAAATTACACCTAGACACCGCCAAACCATCAATAAGACAGCTACATAGATTGTACTCAATTCTTCTTGTTGTTTCATTTTTTCGATTAATAATGATCCACATTGTTGCTTGAAGTAATATGAGATCTCTACAGGCATTGATATATGTATATGCCATCTATCTGATAGAAGTTAATGCACCAAAACTAGAATCCACTTAATACAAAATCCGCATTAAATTACATATAGCTTAAATATTACTCTTTTATAGATTATGCACCATTATGGTAACCCTATAGCACATTTGCAAATCAAACATCATTACATCAGAAAACATTCTCAAACTGAAACATCAGCCTTAAGCCTAAATAGGAGTATTTTATGCTAGCTTTAGTAACACAACACCACATAAGCATGCAAAAAACGACAGTCAATTAACTAATACTCCCTCTTTTTCAATTTGTTTGTCTAATTTTGACTTGACACGTTGTTTACGAAAGTAAAGTAGACTTAAACTCAACATATGTAGAATATACCAAAATGCCTTCTACTCTTGAAAGTTGAAATTAAAGAGCTGACAAAAAGTAAAGAGACGTTCTTTTTCAAACGAACTAAAAAGGAAAGTAAGACAAACAAATCAAAACGGAGGGAGTACATCTCAATCCCAAATTAGCTAGGTTCAACACTTCAGCTATATGAATTCTCTCCCTATATATACATATTCATTCTGATCCATTCGAACCCATTTCATTTCAAATACTAAACAATTGATCTCTTAACACAAATCAAAGTTTCTCCAAATAGAAATTCTAACTTGAAAAGATCAAGAATTTTTCAAATACACCCCCAAATAATCAACTACATTTCAGTCCCAAATTTGCTGGATTTCATTCTGCTCCATTCAGGAACACAAATCAGCTAAAATTATCCCAAGAATGCATCTTTTTGCTATCAGAAAAAAATGGGTCGAACATAAATCAGCTAAAAAAAAACAGTAAAATTCAAAAACAGATTGAATGGAGAAAAGGGTGCTCAAAAAAATCAAGATTGAAGTTCTACATCAAAAAAAAAAAGAATTGAAAAAAATGAAAAGGGTCCTTACAGAAGGAGTGGAGGGATCAGAAGGGCGAAGCTGGCTGAAATTGTGAGGGTCAATTGAAGGCCATTCACCAAACATTGACCCCATAGCACCCAAAATGGGAAGAATCCAGAGAACAATGCCACTCTTTAAAGAGAGCACAAATATATATATATATATTGTTGGGTTGGGGGCTAAATATTGTTGGCAAAAGGTCCTTGTTTTATACTCTCTGTTTTTTCCTTTTTTGGTTTTGTTTTTAGGTTACCTATTTATTTTATTTCTTTATTGTAGTTTTATATTTGATTTTGATATGTTTTATTCGAATTGATTAAAATAATAGTGAGGTAAGGTTACTTGCGCATCTCCTTCTTCAGACCTTATTTGTAGGATTGTTAATTTGTTACGTTGTTATTGATCTCTTGATGTGAAATTGGTGTAAATATAATCTTCAGCTATTTAGTTTATCAATATGATCAAAATGTACATTATATATATATATATATATATATATATATATATATATATATAGATAGATAGATATATGTCAATGGCATAGTACATAAATGGGTCATTTATCGTGATCTCAACTGGGATATATGCCCTTCAACTTTGGTTGTATATAAGTAGATACTAAAATTTGAATAAAGTTAAATAAATAAACATACGCATCCTACGTGGCAATCTATATGACAATTCATGTCCTATTTGGCGTCCTACGTATATTAGGTCTTTATGGATGGTTTTAAAAAAATTGACTGAACAAAGTCGGTGAATAATATTTCCAAAAGTTCATGAACGACTAATACACATGAACTAAAAAAATCCAGAATTTCTATTTTGTGACTCCTCAATGTTATAAAAAGTGGTGTGGTTTATGTATAGGCTATGTATATGATTTATCAGATCATTACGAATGACGCAAAAAAATAAAATTAAGGCCAAATAGGGCAGGTCCGTAATATTTTGAAACATTATGACTACTAGCCCTACCTTATGACTGCATTTTGAAATTGAAAAAATGAAATTTTCCAAACCTCTCTTTCAACTTCAAATTTCAATTACTTTTTTGTTGAAAAAATTAATTTATTTTGTCCCTACCCTCAAACCAGCCCCCCAACTACCCCCCAAAAAAAATAAAAATTTAAAGCTTATTTTTATTACCCCACCTTCACCCCTACACCCACCCCTCCCAAAAAAATATTTTCAATTTCAAAATTTCATTTTCTCACCCCTATCCTCGACCCCCCACCCCACCCCACCCCACCCCCAAAAAATAATTTTTAAGTTTGTTTTTCAAAAATATTTTCAATTTCAAAATTTAATTTTTTTCACCCCTACCCACCCCCGGCACCCCACCCACCCTACCAGCACCCCCCCCCCCCCAAAAAAAATAATAATTTAAGTTCGTTTTTAAAAAATACTTTCAACTTCAAAATTTTATTTTTTCACCCCAACCCTTGACCCCCCCCCTCCCCCCACCCACCCCACCCCCCCTACCAGCCCCCACCCCAAAAAAAATTTAAGTTTATTTTTTTAAAAAAATTTAAATTTCAAAAATTATTTTCTACTCTAGTTAAAAATAAAAGATATTTCTCAAAAATATTTTTCATTCATAAGTCAAACACTAAAAATCTTTTCCGAAAAATATTTTCTACTCACTAACCAAACATGAGAAAATAAGTCAAAAATCAACTTGTTTTCCAGGAAAACATTTTCTAGGAAAACATTTTCCTTCATACCAAACACACCCTAAATGTTTTAAAAAATGAAGTGGATCATTGAGGCTAGGTATTGTACCCCATGTCATTATAGATGTATCTAAAAATATTTGACCAAAAGAGAGTTGGCAATGATATTTCTAAAAAATTATGGAGTAACACTCAAAAAACTGAAAAAAATCACATAATTTTTGTTGAGTCGTCCCTAAATGTTAAAAGAATATGAAGTGGATCATTGTGAGACTATAGGCTTTGTTTCTCGGGTCATTGCGGATGACCTTGTAAAGATTTTGGCAAAAAAAATACCCGAAAGTCATATCAACAGAAAATTTATGAACCAACACACACGAAAAACTGAGACAATCGCCTAATTCAACATGAATTAGAAAAAAAAATCAATTTTTCATGTGTGTTAGTCCATGAATTTTTTGGTGATACAGCTTCTAGGCATTTTTTTTCCAAAACTTTTACAGAACCATCTGTAATGACTTCGGGAACAATATCTATAACCTCGCCATGATCGACGACACATCTTTTAGCAATTAGTGATCACTCAATAGGAATTAGACAATTTTCTCACTTTTCAGAGTGTGTTTGTTCATAATTTGTTTTGTTAAATGACTTTTGATTTTTTTTTTTTTGCAAAACCATTATAGGACCATCCATAATGACCTGGGGAACAACATCTATAGCTTCACCATGATCAACTCCACTTTTTTAGCATTTAGGTGTCACTCGACAAGAATTAGACAATTTTCTCAGTTTTTCATATGTATTAGTCCATGAATTTATTGATAATATGGCTTTCAGACATTATTTTATCAATAACATTTATAATTATAGGACCATGCGTAATGACCTTGGAAACAATACCTATAGCCTCACCATAATTCACGCTACTTTTCTTAGCATTTAGGGGCAACTCAATTGGAAGTACGTGATTTTCTCTGTTTTTCGTATGTGTTGGTCCATGATTTTTTTGGTGATATGTTTTCTTGACAGTTTTTTTACCGAAACCTTTACATGATTGTCTGTTATAATCTAGAGAACAATCCTTATAGCATCACCATGATCCACATCACTTTTGTCAGTATTTTAGGACTACTCAACAAGAATAAAGTGATTTTCCCAGTTTCATATTCGACACACACCCGAAAAGGTGAGAAAGGTTTTGAACTTCGATTTTATGACCCCTAAATGCTAAAAATCAGACTCTTCTGGACTCCAAACTTGGTGGGTCCATCTAAAACGGGATGAGACCAATACTCATTGCTTCGTCATGGTTCATGTCAGCATTTTTACATTTTGGGATCACAAAACAAAAATTCAAAATCTTTTGATTTTTTCGATTATATTTAGTCCATTGATTTTCTTAAATTTGTTCCACCAACTCTTTTGGGTCCCAAATTTTATGGGTCCATCCGAAACAACGACGACTTTCATTAGAAAGAAGAAAAACAAGGGTGGCCTTTCCTAGCCCGCAGTTTGCTTAGGGCTAGGTTAGGCTGCCATTTTAAAGAGGGATGGCAGGCAATTGCCAGAAAATCAGCTACAAAAGGGGCACTACTGAATTCTGATAATGGCTTTGGGCTACTGGTGGGAAAGGATCATTCATTTAAATGATTCTATTTTAGTAGAAACCTGAGTTTTCATGATATATTATATGTCAAACATGTTGAATTACAATAGAAAAATTCCACACATGGTCATTAAATATTACCTACTATAATAACAAACTCAGAGACTACTTTTTGTCACACTAGAGTAGTGTCAAACTGTTGCTTGTTAGATGGGAGTTGAGCATCACTTCGGATTGGAATTTACAAAAGAAAGAACGGCATTTTCCCCTATCTACGTGTAATATAACACTGGGTCAAGGTATCTGTACTGTAAAGTGACCATGGAAGCAAAATTTGAGACGATAAATACAGTCGCCAACAAACATGTCCTAGTTCTACTGCATTCCTGAGGAGCGCTCGGGTAAAATGCCTGAAATATCAGATGCATTGGCAGGAGCTGTAGATGGAAAGTTCACTGGCTGCGTACTATGAGCACCTCTATTAGCCAAAAGGACTTGCAGTTGGGGTGAAAGATTAGGTGGAATAGATGGTCTGGCAGCTTGAGCTTGAGCTTGCTGTGTTGGCTTAAGTATGAACTGTTGCAGTGCTTCAGAATAAGCTCGTCCTGAAAGGCTTCCACGCATACGGCCTGTAGGCCGCCAGTTTGGATCTAGCTGGGGATCCATGGAAATATCTGTCCTTGTGACTGGTGTCGTGCCTCCTGTACTACCCCTCTGGTCCGGGGCCAATGGTGTCCTGAACCTGTCAGCACTACCTGGGAGTGGAGACACAGTTCTAGGAGAGTAAACAGGTCTCACCACTTGTGTGGTTTGCTGAGTTGTGACAACTCGGGTGTGTTGTCCACCAGCAAGTGCCCGATTAACACCAACTTGTGAACTTCCTTGCTTCAGGGCTTCCCATCTATCCCAAGTAGCTGATTGGGTCGGACCTTGAGACTGGCTCATTGAATAGGGTGTTCTCATGCTAGGAGTTTGACGGCCAACAGAATGTTGAGATGGTTGAACATGAGGAAGAGAACGCTAGCAGAAAGAAAAAGGATAATTAGAAGCCATTGAGAATAGACAGAATAAAGACATATGCAGAAGCGCAGGAAGTTAGAAGCCATAGACAATAGACAGAATAAAGACATGCACGGGAAGTTGGAAACATTATAAGCAGCCTCAAAAGGAGAAATTCTGTGATACCAAGCAAAACATGCAAAGTTAGGTGGTCAAGGAACTCCTAGAAAATGGAAGCAAACACACCCTATACAGACAGGTGATGGTCTTCTCATACCAGAGCACACACAATGCTTCAACAATCACAGATAAAGGAACGTCTCAAGAGACCAAAACCAGCAAAGAAAGACTTGAATCATATTTTAGTCAGAACTTCAAAATATAACCAAAAAATTACACCTGTGCACTCACCTTCTGTGGTAATACTGATGAGGTCGTGCGTGCCTGAACCAGGTCCAAGTCAGAAAAGGAATGTCTCTCCAATTCACTTCTTAGATTGGAACCATCCAATGACGCAATAGGCAAATCCTGAGTAGCTGCTGAAGGACCAGCATGGAACAAGGGATTCATTGTGCTTTGTTGTCTCTGCTGAGGAACAGGAGTGTTCATCTGGGCTGGAAGGGCCTGAACTGCAACAGGAGTTCTGTTTGCAGGCCTGGCTGCAGTTGGAAACCTTCCATATTCATTGCTGAGTGCAGAGTTCCCAAATTGGAACTGTTGTAACTGCAGCTGCAGCAAATTGGAAGAAGATAGTCCACTGTCGAGTATAGAGGTTGGAATAAAAGCATTTCCCTCAGTGTTGAAAGCGGGAGATATTGCATCTGTGAAGACAGGCAACTGGACCAAGTCGGTTCTAGCAGGCTCAGAAGCA